ATGTTTTTCTGTCACCTCTAAAAAAATAAGTCATTCGAAAAAAAAAATGCTTATTTAGCATTTTGGAAAAAAGAGTTATTTGGGAAATTAAAAAAAAATGTCACAAATATCATCTCCCCCAAATGGGACTTCCAACTAAATCGATATACTATTATCATTCAAAAAAACACCGAAGCAAAAAATAGGTACAATCCTAATGACCAAAAGGAATTTTTCCAAATTCCATTGGGTCACGAAAAATACAATATCGATATAAATATCGATCATCAAACAGTAATCAAATGAGACTTACCCCATTTGATTCACAAATTGTATTACGATCGATCACAACATACATTACAACAGACAATCATAACAATCATATAACACTCTAAGATATATGACCATAACACACAAGGCCAAAGGGGTTGGGTCAAACTCCATTTGGTAAAAAAAATAATCAATACATAGATACATGCAAGGATAAGAGATAAAAGTGAATCCATGGCGCCGGTGGCGGGGTAAGAGAACCCTCACCTTCCTGCTGCCTAATAATCACCTTACAATAAGTAATTATCTTTCCTTACCTCAACGAAGCTCTGTGTTCTTCAAGTTCATCCTTCTCCACACTTTGTAATTCCTCAAACTCGATCAATCTCTCTTTTCCAATTTTTTTCCAGTTCCAATTCACTATATATTTCAACTTAACTATCGTACAAAAGTTAACGTTAGATATTTATTACTATTATTATCATTATTATTACTATTAAATCTCAATAAACCAAAATTTTCTAACTTTTGTAACTATTATTATTAAATTTTTTTATTTTAAATCAAATAAATATCTCATTTTAACATTTCACCCGCTACTTACTCCTACAATCCAATATTAACGTTAAAACTTCTAACATTAATATACATATCCTTTTTATTAAAATAATCCTAATTAAATAATTATTTTAAAATATTCTAATTAAATAAATATTTCTATTAAATAAATATTTAATCAAAATATTATAATTTATTCCTCAAACTCTAATTATTTATATTATTACTAAATATCTTAAAATTAGCTAATTATCACTAATAATTTAAATAATTCTAATTTTAATCTCCACGCTCTCAAACTCAACTATTAAATTACTAAATACCCTTATAACACCCAAATCACCAAAAATAACACGATTAATTAAAATAAATAACAATAAACACAAAATCAAATATTTTAATTTTTAATTAAAATATAAAAATAAATTAGGAGTGTTACAACTCTCCCTCGCTTAAAACGATTTTCGTCCTAAAAAATTACCAAACAAAAATAAACCTAGATAAGACTCATTTATCCGACTTTTCATTTCCCATGCCATGATTCCTCCAGCAGGTCCACACCAAACCATTTTCACCAACTCAATCTCCTTACCTTTGTGTTGTTTTACCTCTCGATCCTCAATCGTCACAGGTGATGCCTCAATGATGAGATTCTCGTACTTACACATCATCCATTTGGATCATGTGAGATGGATCAATAATATACTTCCGAAGCTGAGATACATGGAAGACATCATGTAGATTCAAAAGTGACAGTGATAAGGCCATTATGTACGCAACAACTCCAACTCACTAGGTAATTTGATACGTTCCAATGAAACGAGGAATGAGCTTCTTATACTTCAGCGCACGTTCAATACCAATAATAAGAGTGACTTCCAAGAATACATGATAACCCTCTCAGAACTCAAAATCTTTCCTCCGCTTATCATGATAACTCTTCTTTCTGCTATGTGAAGCCTTCATATTTTCTTGGATCATTTTGACTATCTAAGTCGTCAGCTGAACGATCTCAAGTTCGAGTATAACACTCTCTCCAGACTCATACCAATATAGAGGAATTCTACACCTCCTCCCATATAATTCCTCGAATGGTGACATTATAATACTAGAATGGTAGCTGTTATAATATGTCAACTCGATCAACGGTAGATAGTTGTCCCAAACACTTACTTGCTCTAAGACGCATGCTCTCAATAAGTCTTCAAGAGACTGGATAATCCTCTCAGTCTAACCATATGTCAGAGGGTGATAGGATAAACTCAACCTTAGTTTAATACCCAAAGCCTCTTGCAAGCTCTCCCAACACCTGGAAGTGAATCTCATATATTTTTCAAAAACTATACTCAATGGAGTACCATGCAACTTCATAATTACATTGATATAGATCTCGACCAATCTCTGTAATAAAAAACTGATCTTAATCGATATGAAGTAAGCCTATTTAGTAAACATATCTACAATCACCCAAATCACACCATTCCCACTCAGAGTATTCGAAAAACCAGTCACAAAGTCCATTAAGATAGTGTCCCACTTCCATTCAGGAATATCCAACGGTTGCATCAATCCAGACAGCTTCTGATGCTCAATCTTAGACTTATGGCAAGTTAAACAAGCATAAACAAACTGTGTGATATCCCTCTTCATTCTTAGCCACCAGAACATCTTCTTTAGATCTTGGCATATTTTGGTAGCTCTAGGATGGATGCTTAAACTGCTACGATGACTCTCTTCTCAAATCAATTTCTTAAGTTCTGGTACATCATGCACACAAAATTTATCCCAAAACTTTAGAATCCTGTTTTCATTAGCCTTAAAGTATTTATCATTACTCTGGTTGATTGATAATAAGCGATTAACCTAAACAACATTCATTCTCAGCTTCTCCCTAATCTCATCAAGAAAAACACTAGTTAGCTGCATCATGCCCAATCACGCTATTTGTAGTCACTTTGCATACTAAGCCCAAGTTTCTGAATTGCTCGATCAAATCTAACTCCATAGCCATAGAAGCTGACATGTGCAAATATTTTTGACTCAGAGCGTCCGCTACAACGTTGGCTTTATCTGGGTGGTAATTCAAACCAAAGTCATAATCCTTCAAAATCTCTAACCATCTCCTCTGTCTCATATTAAGATCCTTTTGATAAAATAAATATCTCAAACTTTTATAATCGCTAAATACTTAAAATTTGAAACCAAATAAATAGTGCATCCACATCTTCAAGACAAACACCATTAAAGCTAACTCTAGATCATGAGTAAGTGGTTAAAAAATAAAAATATAATATGATATTCTCTCTCATTCATAATCACAACCACCCATAAAACCAATTTAAAAAGAATTTAGATTTTAAATAAATTAAATATTTTCTCTATTCTTATTGGTTGTTTGTAAGAATAAAGATTTATGTTCGTACGCATGTAAGTTTTTCTCGAAAATGTAAGATTTTCATCCTTTTACTTTAAAATAAAAAATAATATATTTATTAGTAAATCATATTTCTAAAAATAAAAAATACCCAAATATAATTTAATAAAATTTGAAACAATCATGAAAATATAATTTTCAATATCACATATTTCTGAGAATAAAACTTAAATCCATAAAGCAATCACACCTTAATGTAAAATACAAAAGAAACATTAATAAGTAGTAACTATAAACAATTTTTTGAAGAATTTTTTTTGGAATTAAAAACTAAGTTTGACGGAGAAAAAACTTATTTAATTATAAAATTTAATCCATTTGTATCTCAATTCTCAAATGATACATATGTACATATATTTATTTATTTAAATAATGAAATAAAAAGTTTAATTTATTAACTCCATTTTCTTTTTTACCGTCAAACACAAATCATATTATTACGCACCCTTTTAAGTCACGTCAGTGATGTGTTTTCTAGAACTGCCACGTCATCGATCCTTAAGAAAGGGGGCGATTCGAGCATTATATCATAAAAGAAGGGATACCGTCCATCACCTAACATCAACGGTAGAACACGAACCAGATGGAACGACACGGATCGCCATCCTCATCCATCGATTAAAATTATAATCAATGGCTGAAAGTGCTCTTCCAATTCTGAGTCTTCATATATAAACACGACCTCAACCGTTTGTATCATCACTCGCAATTCGATCTTCTTATTTGAATTGTTATTTTTTCAGTTGATAATTTTCAAGGGAAAAAATGTCGGGTCGCGGTAAAGGAGGAAAGGGTTTGGGAAAGGGAGGTGCAAAGAGGCATAGAAAGGTGCTTCGTGACAACATCCAGGGTATCACCAAGCCTGCAATTCGTCGTTTGGCTAGAAGAGGTGGTGTCAAGAGAATCAGTGGTCTCATCTATGAAGAAACCCGCGGTGTTCTCAAGATCTTCCTCGAGAATGTTATTCGCGATGCTGTCACCTACACTGAACACGCCAGAAGGAAAACCGTCACTGCCATGGATGTTGTTTATGCTTTGAAGAGGCAGGGAAGGACTCTCTACGGTTTCGGTGGTTGATTCTTGTTTTCGATTAGGGTTAATGTTTGCTCATTTGGTTAGATTAGTCTTAGATCTGTTTGAATTGAGCTTGAACAACTTGTTCTATGTTTCTATGATGTCGATTTGTAAGACTTTTTAACTATGGATGATGGAACTCTCTTTTGTTTCAATTTTAAACCGTATTCTTGTTTATTTATAAATACTTGTGTTTTAATTATCGTTTGAATGTGGTGATTTGGAACACGTTTTTAAATTTATTTCTTTTAAATTGAAAATTTTCCAATCCATTTGAACTCACGATTTTTCCATTCCTTTAAACCTAGACTTATTTATAATGACTTAGTTTGTAGATTTTGTCTCTCTATTGAGAAAAAAATGTAATTTAATCGGTTGTAACCAATTGCCTCATCGAACAAAAGCTTCTTGCAATTGGCTGTTAGTTTTGTTCAACTAGTTTCCGCCCAAGTCAGTAGCATTTCGTAACCGAGCTTTTTTGTTTAACTTATTGCCACCTGTTACTTGCTCCCTCTGTTATAATGCTCTTGAAAATATCTCTTATATTTTCTTAGAATGTGAAATTTCATAGCAACCTTTCTTCTCATCTGTTATTGGCTACCCGGTTCCTGCTGTCATGTAGGTCACTGAATGGCTTGCTAGTCTCCTTTCATGCGGGGATACGTTTAGCTGCCAGCTTCTTCGCATGCTAATTTATAAAATCTGGATCGCTAGGAATCTGCAGCTATATCAGAACAAGACTTCAGCGCCGCAAAAGCTTTCTGAGGAAGCTCTTGAAGGAGTGCTGCAATTTAATAGATGGAATCCCGAACTACGTGTCAGTAGGAAGATTCGGGTGCAGTCGGTCTTTAAGTACTCTCATCAAGATGTGGTTTTTGTTCAGGTTGATGCAAGAGTCTTTAGCGAGGGATTCATGTCTTTTGGTTGTTGTTTTAAGAAGTCCAATTTGGAATTGTTTTAAGAAGTCCAATTTGAAAATCTCTTACGCGGCCTGCAGGCCCGAATTCGTATTTATAGATGTGGAGTTGGCTGAGAAGCTTGCCATTAGATGGTGTAATTTGGTGGCAAAAGATTTGAATTTGCAGAAGAGTGTTATTCACTCTGATTGTATGATGTGGAGTTGGCTGAGATGCTGATCATTAGATGATGTATTTTGGTGGCAAAAGATTTGAATTTGCAGAAGATTGTTATTCACTCTGATTTTCTGATGTGGAGTTGGCTGAGATGCTTACCATTAGATGGTGTATTTTGGTGGCAAAATATTTGAATTTGCAGAAGATTGTTATTCACTCTGATTGTCTGATGTGGAGTTGGCTGAGATACTTATCATTAGATGGTGTATTTTGGTGGCAAAAGATTTGAATTTGAAGAAGATTGTTATTCACTCTGATTGTCTGATGTGGAGTTGGTTGAGATGCTTACCATTAGATGGTGTATTTTGGTGGCAAAAGATTTGAATTTGCAGAAGATTGTTATTCACTTTGATTGTCTGAATGTGGTGGATTGCTTCAATGGTTTTTGCAAGAATGCTTCCCTCGATCACATAGTTGAAGATTGTAGGCTGTTATGTAGTAATTTTCTTGTTGTGTCGTTTTGTTTATCTGTAGGGAATTCAATTTAGATGCTGGTTTGGGCAAGTTGTATGGTTGTAGATCCTGGATTGATGGTTACCCCTCTGTTGAGTCCTTTCCTTCTGTAATTCCTGTTGTTCAATCTTAATGGAATTGTCTTTTCTTTAAAAAAAAATGTTTTTTTGGTTGTTTTTTTAGTTTAGTTGATTAGTTATAATGTGTTGTAAGGATGTATAAATATCTCATTGGTTCTTAATGAAACCAAGTCACCATTTTTTAATTATTTTCTCTAATTCTCTCATCCTCTTCACATTTGCACAATAGCGCTATCTTGAGATTGTTTTTTTCCTAATATTTGATATCAAGAGTTTAGTTCTTTGATCAATCACTAATTGTGCAAAAATATTTTCCATTTCCAATGAATGAATATGTGCAAATCTCTGAATTTTCGATGTGAAAAATTATGATAAATGGTGCAAATAGATGAAAGTGTTGTTTGATTATCAAAATATTTTTGAAGTGATCAAGAATGATGTTAATCCATTTGTAAAAAGTGTAACGACTACACATGATTGCACATAAGGAAGAGAAGATGAAATATTTTAAAGTTTTGTATCTGATTCATTAATATGTTGATGTTAATAACTTTGAGAAGGTTGGTGATTGCATAACCTCAAAGAATGTTAGAGAAATTTTGAATAAAATTTATCCAGGAGTTGAAAAAGTAAAGGTGGTGAAGTTACAATATCACAAGAGACAATTGAAATTGATTCACATGGAAGAGAAAGAGTCAATTAGTTAATTTACTACAAGAATCACAAGATTGGTGAATCAAGTGAAGACTTGTGGAGAGACAATCACTTAGCATTATCTGGTTGCTAAAATCTTGTGATCTTTAACATTAAGATTCGATAATGTGGTGGTGGCAATTGAAGAGTCCAAAGATCTTTCAACTGTGAGCAAAGAAGAATTGCAAAGTACTCTTGAGGCTCATGGGCAGAGAATAGAGGATATGAATGTTAACAAGTCAAAGATTGAGATTGTTTTACAGGTCTGTTTTGTTGGAAGAGATAAGAAGGTAAAGGGAAAGTGGTCTATGAATATAGGTAGATGAAACTATCAAAACAATGGTGGAGGGAATTCCCAAAATTCCAATAATTTTTAACATTTTAAAAGGGTGATAGAAGCTACAATAGAGGTGGTGAATTAAGCAATTACAAATGTGACCATAATAAAGGAAGATGAGAAAGGAAGAAAGTTGATAAGAGGAACGCCTAATGCTAAAATAGTCAAAAGTTTAGATATTTTGCTAGTGAATGTAATACTAACAAGAAAGATTCAGAAGAAGTTGAAGTAAAATTTGCAAGGAAAAATGATGATGATGAGATCACACTGTTGATGGTGATTGTCGTATCCTAATTTTGTTTGGACATTTTCATTTCATTAATATTTAATCCAATTACTAATCATGTCATGCATGTTTGCATTCTTGTGTCAACTTTGGATAGTTCGTGTTTTACATCTCATTATTTTTATGCTTGATTACCAAATTAATTATCTATTTATCCTCTTTTTTTCCAAATCTCATACCATCTATTTATCATCCATTTTTATAGTTTTTTCACTTTTAAAACCATAAATAATTTTCATTCTTTTTGAAAAGTCAACATTGTTTTCTAATAGAGATAAAAGTTACAAAAGAATCATAAATTTTCATTTTTCATTAACAATCATACATTATCATATATTTATTTTTCACCAAGATTCTACTTTTTGATAACAAAGACAAAAGTATCAAATATCTCATTTTATGCATCATACATCATACAATTATTCATGCCATAATACATCATCACCTAGTCAATAAAAAGTCAATGATTTGTACAAAAGAAAAAAAGTTAGTTAAAAAAAAAATTAAAATCTCATTTCATTCTCAATACATCATCAACCAACATCCATGACCATGCACAAAGTTTCTCACATAACAAATTTTTACAAACCATTTCTAACAATTTTTACACTCATCACTATTCACCACATGAAATCGCACAAATAGGGAATTGAGAAAGGGAGCCCCTAAAAATCACAAAAAGAGCTACATACCAAACAACAAAAATCATTGTGAAACTCTTCTAATTTCATTTACAACTTAAGAGTTTATTCACAATGAAGAAACTCTGATCAATTCCCCACAGAGTAACATCTCATTATCAAGCCGAGCCACCACTCTTTTCATCATCTTCACCGTAGCACTGCCATCATCTTCATTCTCATTATCGATCCATCATTTCATAACCTCGTTGATTCACCTCAAGCTCACACAAAAACAACAAACAACACGATGGATTAGGGATAATTCAGAGGTTTTGAGTAGATGAAAAGAAGAAGCAGAGAAAACGAAGCAAAAATGAGTGTAATGGAGCACAGAAACATATTTATCTCGCTGATTTAAGCTAGTTGGTATCTGGAATTTTTTCCAGAAAAGGTCTATGAAATCTTCAAGTTTGCTGGAGAAGACGATCAAAAAGTTCATCTTCGCCGGAGAACATCGTCGAAATTTGGGAACTTTCGCTGGAAAATTCACCACATTCATCGGAATTTGAAATTTCCAGAATTCCTCAGGTTTCATTTTTCTTCACTCTTTCTCCCTTTTAAATCAGAGTAATGCACCAAAAAGGGTGTCACATATGCTTCAAATAAACTTCATAATAAAACACATCCTGCTCCGTAACATAGGTTTTCAAAAATCAATTACGTTAAGTACTCCAGAATCAACAATCATAGTTTTTCAACTTACTCGCAACCTAAATTCATAATTCAAAACATCATTATTAATATACTTCTAAATAACTTCATCAAATCAAAACAACTCAATTACCGCAAGAGTTGTTCAAATCTCAAATTAAACAGAACAACATGATTATTCAAAACAGACTATCTCATCTTGATGTTACATATTAGAGCAAAACCCTTTTTAATTCTACAGGAAATAAAGAACACACTTCGTAGCTATCCTCTAAGCCTCGACGAACTTTTCTTGATTACCTGCAAGTTACCCACGTATAGAGGCAACATTTCCAAGCAGCAAGGGTGAGTAAATCATAATAATTATAAAAGACATAAGGAGTAAATATAGTAGTCATGATACAACACCAAAGAAATACACCACCAAAAACCTCATGTCATACTCACACCTACAAGCATCATAATACACATCAGACACGCGTAATATCATCAATTAGCAATTATCAAAAACACGCATTCACAAAACATCTGTCAATCAAATTATCATGTAATGCCACATTAATGCAATGCAACTTATTTATATTCATGCATGTGATACCAAAACTTCACTGATGACACCTGTATCGTTTTATCCAAAGATCCACACGAATAGGATCGATTCCCGCTTAGAACAGAGCACATCATAAATTACACTTAATCCACAATATGGGATTGAGATCATCACTAAACTATTCGTCCTACAAACTCACTGGAACAACGTCCTGCAACCATCACTGAGCTACGCCCTAACTTATGCCATGAATGCATGATACGAAACATCTTAATAATAAAATGACCATTACTAGTTAAACACATCATCATTCACATATCATCATAGATATCATCATATACTTCATAACACCAAACAATATCATCATAGTATCAATAATTCATTGTATACACATACACTATATTAAAACAATCATTGAATCATATTATTCATCAAATCATAGTGTTGTACCCCAAAATTTGTCCTCTTATTTCTCAAAACATTTCTTACAAAGATCTTCAATGGCTCAAACTCGCAACACTGATACATCATATTAGGGTTTAAGTTTTCATAAGGACAATTGGACTGTTAATGCCTCAAAAGACTTTCATGGATCATTATGGATCTCCAAGAATGCTCATGACAAGTTTCAAGCCTTGGATCACCAAAAATTTCTCAGTCAATTGATCAGATGACCTAAAATCAACTGTATTGATGAAAAAGTCAATTGTACACTGAAAAGTCAAATTTTGACTTTTTTTATTATCAAAATCAAGTATCAAAAATCATATTTTATCAAGACGTGTCAAAATATGAAGATTTTTCATCAAGAAATCAAAAAGTCAAAATCATCAAGAAATTTTTCTAAGTGTTGGAAAGTTAACTTTTTTTCATAACTTCATCTCAATTTTTCACCAAGATGCAAGATGATTCAAAGAAAACTTTCAACATGAAAGTTGTAGATCTTGGTGATATCTATAACTTTTCTTTGCTGATCAAATCCTAGAAGTGTTTGGATTGTGAGTTATAAATTTAAAAAGTCATGGCATTTTCATCTAACACTTAGTGAAATTTTCAACAGATTTTGGTCAGAATTTTATCCCAACTTCTTGGAATTTTTTCACATAGTTACAAGATGATTTTTTCAAAATGGCCAACATGAAAGTTATAGAGGATGTTTCAAGATTTCCAAAACATCCAAGAGCATTAATTTATCATACTTGAGTTAGGACATTCAAGGGCATGCAGTTGGGCATCCATCCTTGAATTGCAAGTCATTTTAGTGAAGAACACATAACAAAACCCTTATGCTATGCGGCATAATCTTGTGTTGCAGGCCTTCTTGCTTGCAAATCTCATTATAATTTAATTCTTACACCCACTCTTGAGCTATTACCCAAGTGTTTAAGCCATTGTCCAAAAGATATTTCCATTTATGGCATAAAGTTACCATTGCTATTCTTGAAAAGCAAGCTTGTTGGCACAAAACTTGTCTTGAGCCCGTACCTTATTTGTTTCTGATTTTACTCCACCATAAATCATGGAAAGAAGCCCCTTTATACCAGCAACTTTGGTACTTCATCTTGGAACCATGGAGTACTTGACATAGTTTGATATTTGCATCTCAACCAAACTATAACATGTTGTCTTGTAAACCTATTCAGCCCTTGTTCACAAACCTTTTGCCTATAAACAGAGGGAGCATTTGCAAGGAAAGAGGTCAGAAAAAATAGAGAGCTTCTTGTGTATTGAAAATCCTTAAACCTCCCTTATTCT